AAGGACCGTGTCGCAGGGCTAAAACACCATGGCAGTGAAGGACGGATTGGGCCCGCGGCCCGTATCCCAGACTGCCAAACGTCACTTTCTGAACCGACTAGAAGCTAGCTCCAAACCTTGACTTTTCCTGCGTTTCTGCACTGCCAACTGCCACCCTGCTCGTGTCCTCCTGGAGCCGGCTTTCGTTCTGCACCGCTTCGGTCCAAGCTGGAGTCCAAGGACCGTGTCGCGGGGCTAAAACACCATGGCAGTGAAGGACGGATTGGGCCCGCGGCCCGTATCCCAGACTGCCAAACGTCACTTTCTGAACCGACTAGAAACTAGCTCCAAACCTTGACTTTTCCTGCGTTTCTGCACTGCGAACTGCCACCCTGCTCGTGTCCTCCTGGAGCCGGCTTTCGTTCTGCGGCTCCAAACCTTGACTTTACCTGCGTTTCTGCACTGCCAACTGCCACCCTGCTCGTGTCGTCCTGGAGCCGGCTTTCGTTCTGCACCGCTTCGGTCTAAGCTGGAGTCCAAGGACCGTGTCGCAGGGCTAAAAAACCCCATGGCAGTGAAGGACGGATTGTGTCGGCGGCCCGTATCCCAGACTGCCAAACGTCACTTTCTGAACCGACTAGAAACTAGCTCCAAACCTTGACTTTTCCTGCGTTTCTGCACTGCCAACTGCCACCCTGCTCGTGTCCTCCTTGAGCCGGCTTTCGTTCTGCACCGCTTCGGTCCAAGCTGGAGTCCAAGGACCGTGTCGCAGGGCTAAAACACCATGGCAGTGAAGGACGGATTGGGCCCGCGGCCCGTATCCTAGACTGCCAAACGTCACTTTCTGAACCGACTAGAAACTAGCTCCAAACCATTCCAAACCTTGACTTTTCCTGCGTTTCTGCACTGCCAACTGCCACCCTGCTCCTCCTGGAGCCGGCTTTCGTTCTGCACCGCTTCGGTCCAAGCTGGAGTCCAAGGACCGTGTCGCAGGGCTAAAACACCAATGCAGTGAAGGACGGATTAGGCCCGCGGCCCGTATCCCAGACTGGCAAACGTCACTTTCTGAACCGACTAGAAACTAGCTCCAAACCTTGACTTTTCCTGCGTTTCTGCACTGCCAACTGCCACCCTGCTCGTGTCCTCCTGGAGCCGGCTTTCGTTCTGCACCGCTTCGGTCCAAGCTGGAGTCCAAGGACCGTGTCGCAGGGCTAAAACACCATGGCAGTGAAGGACGGATTGGGCCCGCGGCCCGTATCCCAGACTGCCAAACGTCACTTTCTGAACCGACTAGAAACCAGCTCCAAACCTTGACTTTTCCTGCGTTTCTGCACTGCCAACTGCCACCCTGCTCGTGTCCTCCTGGAGCCGGCTTTCGTTCTGCGGCTCCAAACCTTGACTTTACCTGCGTTTCTGCACTGCCAACTGCCACCCTGCTCGTGTCGTCCTGGAGCCGGCTTTCGTTCTGCACCGCTTCGGTCTAAGCTGGAGTCCAAGGACCGTGTCGCAGGGCTAAAACACCATGGCAGTGAAGGACGGATTGGGCCTGCGGCCCGTATCCCAGGCTGCCAAACGTCACTTTCTGAACCAACTAGAAATAAGCTCCAAACCTTGACTTTTCCTGCGTTTCTGCACTGCCAACTGCCACCCTGCTCGTGTCCTCCTGGCGCCGGCTTTCGTTCTGCACCGCTTCGGTCCAAGCTGGAGTCCAAGGACCGTGTCGCAGGGCTAAAACACCATGGCAGTGAAGGACGGATTGGGCCCGCGGCCCGTATCCCAGACTGCCAAACGTCACTTTGTGAACCGACTAGAAACCAGCTCCAAACCTTGACTTTTCCTGCGTTTCTGCACTCCCAACTGCCACCCTGCTCGTGTCCTCCTGGAGCCGGCTTTCGTTCTGCGGCCCGTAGCCCAGAGTGCCAAACGTTACTTTCTGAACCGATTAGAAACTAGCTCCAAACCTTGACTTTGCCTGCGTTTCTGCACTGCCAACTGCCACCCTGCTCGTGTCCTCCTGGCGCCGGCTTTCGTTCTGCACCGCTTCGGTCTAAGCTGGAGTCCAAGGACCGTGTCGCAGGGCTAAAACACCATGGCAGGGAAGGACGGATTAGGCCCGCGGCCCGTATCCCAGACTGCCAAACGTCACTTTCTGAACCGACTAGAAACTAGCTCCAAACCTTGACTTTTCCTGCGTTTCTGCACTGCCAACTGCCACCCTGCTCGTGTCTTCCTGGAGCCGGCTTTCGTTCTGCACCGCTTCGGTCTAAGCTGGAGTCCAAGGACCGTGTTGCAGGGCTAAAACACCATGGCAGTGAAGGACAGATTAGGCCCGCGGCCCGTATCCCAGACTGCCAAACGTCACTTTCTGAACCGACTAGAAACTAGCTCCAAACCTTGACTTTTCCTGCGTTTCTGCACTGCCAACTGCCACCCTGCTCGTGTCCTCCTGGAGCCGGCTTTCGTTCTGCACTGCTTCGGTCCAAGCTGGAGTCCAAGGACCGTGTCGCAGGGCTAAAACACC